GTTTCTGGAATATTAGAGGATTCAACCATCCTCTAAAGCAAGACAAAGTCCTTCTTAGGGCTTCTCATAATAATGTTGATATTCTATGTTTACTAGAAAGAAGAGTTAAGGTTGACAAATCTAAGGACATCTTTCACTCTAAATTAATCAACTGGAATGTCAGCTCCAATTATGATTTGCTAAAAATGGGAGAATTTGGATTCTTTGGAAAAAGACTATTGATCTCTCTACAATTCAAGTCTCTGACAAGATTATTTCTGTTAAAGGTCAGTTTCTAGGTCAATCTTTTGTTTTATCAGTTGTATACGGTAGTAATGATAATATAACCAGAAGACAGCTATGACAGCATATTCAAGACCTGGAAAAAACCATTGGTCACCTCCATTGGATCATTGTAGGTGATTTTAACATCATTTTGCAGCCTAATGAAAGCTCTGACCATGAGCTCCTTTGTCCCTTTTCCACTACTGAAATGAAAGACTTTCAAGACCTATCTCAAGATCTTGACCTCCATGACCATCCTTTCATTGGACCTTTATTCGCTTGGAGCAACAAGCAAACTGAAAACTACCTTGCTAGAAAGCTTGACAGAGTTCTCATAAACTTTAACTGGGTCAACATCTTTCAAAATTATTTTGTTGAATTTCTTCCCCCGGGTGTCTCAGATCATTGTATGGCATTGGTCCGGTTTTCTAAAGATAACCCCATAAATAGACCTAAGCCTTTCAAATTTTTTAATTTCTGGACTTCTCACCCGAATTATCTGACTGAGATTGAGAATTCCTGGCAGACTCCTTTTCAAGGTAACCATATGCATATTTTGTTCCATAAGCTAAAACACCTCAAATCCAGCCTCAAGAATCTTAATTCTTCATGTTTTAGTGATATTTCTTCTCGGGTTAAACTCAAAAGACTTGAGCTGGAAAATCAGTAATTGCTCTCTCTGAAGGGTGAAAATTTAATCAAAAAGAATTGCAGATTCAACATGAATTGTAAAACTTAGAAGAAGCTGAACTAGCATTCTTGAAACAAAAAGCAAAGGTGAAATGGATTAAAGAAAGGGGTCAATGCTAAAAAAAATTCATTCGGCTGTGGCTGCTAAGAAAAAGACGGAAACTATCAGGCTGCTTATTAATGACCAGGGAAATCGATTAGAATCCTTTGATACAATGTCTTCTGAAGTTCTTTTTTTCTTTACCAAACTCCTTGGGGTTATTGATCCCAAAGTTAATGTCCCTAGCCCTCAGTTTTTACTAATTTTCTGAATTGCACTCTTCCCTCTACTGCTTCTTCTTGCCTGACCAAAGATATCACCTCTCAAGAAATCAAATAAGCCTTCTTTGGACAGGGTAATGATAAGGCCCCTGGCCCTGATGGTTATACTCCTCTGTTCTTCAAATATTATTGGCATATTATTGGCGAGGATGTAGTGGCAGCTATCAAATACTTTTTCCAGCATACTTTTTTTCTCCCTGCTTTTAATGCAACCACTCTGGCATTGATTCCTAAAATCCCCAATCCTTGCAAAGTCAAGGACTTCAGGCTAATTGCTTGTTGTACTGTTATTTATAAGGCTATCACAAAGATCTTAGTCCAGAGACTTTCTTGCTTCATTCCTGACTTAATTTCTCTTAATCAAACTGCTTTCATAAAAGGAATGAGTATTGTGGATAATACCCTTCTTGCTCAAGAACTGGTCAGAGGATATAGTAAGAAAGCTATCTCACCTAGATGCTCAATGAAGATTTATCTTCAAAAAGCTTTTGATACCCTCCATTGGGGATTCCTCTCTTCTGTGCTAAGAGCTTTAAATATTCCCCTAAAGTTCATTAACTGAGTTGAAGCTTGTTTTACTGAGGCTAGATTTTCAATTTCTTTCAATGGTACTTTGATTGGTTATTTCAATAGAGCTAGAGGCATAAGACAAGGATATCCCCTCTCTCTAATTCTCTTTGTTATTTCTATGAATGTTCTTTCAAGAATGCTCAATCTTGCTGCTAAAAAGGATTGTTTAGCTTTCACCCTAAATGCAAAAGAATAGGTCTCACTCATTTATCATTTGCTGATGACCTATTAATCTTCTGCAAAGGCAATGTGAATTATGTTATAGGAGACATTTCTGTGTTGGATCAATTCTATGGAGTCTCTGGTCTTAATCTTAATGCTTCTAAAAGCTCTTTCTTCTGTGCTGGTATATCTCCTAATAATATTGATCTCATTAAGCAAGCTACTGGTTTTGAACATGGATTACTGCCTGTTAAATATTTGGGTATTCCTCTTGTTACAAGAAAGCTCACTGAAAAAGATTGTGAACCCCTCATTCTCATCATCAAATCCAGACTCAATCTATGGTCTGGAAAGAATATAAGTTACACAGGAATACTGGAACTTATTAGAGCAGTGTTGTTCAGCATTGCTAATTATTGGTGCAGACAGCTGTTGCTTCCTTACTCAATAATCAGCAAAATTGAACAGCTTTGCTCACGTTTTTTTTGGAAATGTTCTGATAAATCAGCATCAGGTGCGAGAGTCAGTTGGTAGAACATTTGCAAGATGAAATTTGAGGGAGGACTAGGGCTGAAAAATCTGAAAGAATTGAACAGAGCTTGTATGATTAACCTTATTAAAAATATTCTAGCAGGTGAAGGATCATTATGGGTTGCATGGATACACGCTTATGTTCTAAAAGAATCTGATTTTAGGCTTATAGATGATTATGCAAACATAAGCTGGAGTCTTAGGAAAATTTTCAAACTCATAACTGAAGCTCTTCCGTTATTGTTGAATGGAACCCACTCTATTAGACAAATTTGGCAAGAGATTAGAAACAAGGAGGACAAAAAGACTTGGCACACCTTGATATGGTTCCCACATCATATTCCCAAGCATAGTCTAATTGGTTGGATGACTATCTTAGATAGGCTTCCCACTAGAGACCGATTACAACGTATGGGAATCATTTCTTCTGGGATATTTGTTCTTTGTAACGGCATGTAGGAAAATCGAAATCACTTGTTTTTTGACTGCCATTTTGCTGCTCACTTAAGAGAGAATACTCTCCACCTTTGTGATTTGAAAAAGATAATTCGATCTTGGGAAGAAATGGTTGCTTGGGCAAGTAACTTGTGGAAAGGCAAGTCTCTCTTAACCACTATTCTAAAAATCGCTTGGAACGCCAACGTATATGCTCTGTGGGAGGAAAGAAATCGTAGAATCTTCAAAGGTTGCTCTCGAAATCCAGCTGACATCTTCATAAGCATTAAAGACCTAGTAGGTATTAAGTTGAGGGGGGAAAACATCAATAGACTTGACCATATCAATTCCAAACTTTGTATATCTTGGGGTATAGCTTAAATCGATTGATTTTGTATTTTTTAGAATGTAATTATCCCAGGTGATCGGATGTTGTTCTTGTAGCATTTTTGCTTCTTTGGGTAATAAAATTAAATTATCCAAAAAAAAAAAGATGTGTGAATTTTATGTTAGACATATTTAAGGGTCAAATTGTTCATTCAAATATAAAGTTCAATCCGGTATTTAACAAGGTTTTTGCGAAAACAATACCCATGAAAAATAGGTGTAAACAAAAAAAATATGATTTTATTTTATTTATAATTTATATCATATAAAACTTAAATGTATAATAATATACAATTATTATAATATAAACAATAAAAGATATATAAATTATACATGCTTAATCTTGTAAAAATATATTAATCTTGTAAAAATATATTAAAATTAAAAAAAATATTAACACCCTTAACTTAACCTTTACGTACCGTCAAATTCGTGAGTACTACATTAAATCATTGAAGTAATCTCACACTCCACAACTTTAGAAACATGACTTTTTCAAAAAATTTAAACAATTTCCACATAAATTTGAAAACATGAAATTTATAAAAGCATAACTCAAATATTTTAAAACTAAATACATAAATAAAATATAATAAAATAATTACATCATGACTCAAATACAAGTCATAATCTTTATATGTCCATTTAAGTCATCATCATTGTACTTTGATACTCTCAATGAAACTCCTCAAATGATATTGTTGTTTCATCACGATCCATGAAACATGTAATTTACAAACAAAAATATCTGAATGTTAAGCTAATGAAGCTCAATGGTACATATCTATTCTACTATGTTTCATATGTTAACCTATTATGAACTTACAATCATTATTCATTCACTTATTTAATCTTCAATCACTCGTTCAAGTTCATTGCACTTAATTCAAAATTTAAGTACAACTTATCTCATGTGAAATCATATTATAGTATTTTTAGGGTAAAGTACATTAATGATCCTTTGACTATAGGACATTGCTTTTTGAGTCATCGACTATTAAAAGTTACAAAATGATCTCTAAACTATAGGATGTTGCTTTGTTGAGTCATTCGACTATTAAAAGTTATAAAATTATCACCCGACTATTCATATGTTCCAACCTAGTCATTTTCGTTAAAATATGACGACAATCTGAGTCGGACGTCAACCTGTTGATTGAGATATGATAAGATCTCATAATCTCAAACGATTATCATATCTCAATCAACATGTTAACGTCTACCTTAGACGACCGTCAATTTTTTAACGAAAAATGACGAGTGTGGAATATATGAATAGTTGTGTGACCACTTTTTAATTTTAATAGTCAAGGGAATCAACACTCTATAGTTAGAAAATCATTTTGTAATTTTAATAGTTGGGAGACTTAAAAAAGTAATATCCTATAATAGGATGACCATTTGTGTATTTTACCATATGTTTATACCTATCTACCTAATATTTCATATTTTCTCAACTTAAATCTGAAGGAAAATTCAACGACCATCTCCTGAAAAGGATGACGTGAGCTTAGTGTCAGCATCCATCTCCCACGGGCTCCTCATAAGTGGCTGCTCTGTTGCCTTTGCTCTCTCCATCTCCCTCTTCTTTTCTTCATTTCTTTACGATTCAAAAAAAAAATCAAAATCAAGCCAACCGGAGCCCCAGACCACGTGTCCACTCGCAATGTACTGACGCTCAGCATTCCCGTGTACTTCCTCCAAGTTTCTCAGCGACTTACTGTCATCTCCCGACGTCATGTCACCGCCGCTAAACTTCCCGTTAAGTCCGCTATCTCAACTCAATGTAGCCAACTCGGTCGACTCGGTGGGCGAGGTGCTTCAGAGTGGCAGCAGTAGCGGCAGCGGTAGTTACAACTTCCCGACTTCGGTAGCGAGTTGGTGCACACAGAGACCGAGTTTCATTAGAAGCGTCAGTAGTCATTCCCTTAAAAATAATGAGCTTCATTGTCGTTTTGCCTCAAGCCTTTACGACTTCATTGACTCTGATTCTGGTCCGGTGAGGAGAGTTTCCAGCACCAGTGATCTGCACAAGGTTAGCTAAATTAATGAGTTTAGCACTATGGTTGATAAAAGATTAGCTAATATTATTATTTATGGGGGAAAGATGTAGAGCTTTAATATTATGATGGCGTGCAGGTAAAGCACTGTGTTAGGAGGGCAGAGAGTCCATTGTCAAATGAGAGCAATGCGATCATTGAAGGAATGAGCAGAGCCTGCCGCTACACTCCCGAGGAAAAGAAACAGCGGATTCAAAGATACCGAATCAAAAGAAATCTTAGGAACTTCAACAAAAAAATTAAGGTGGTTTTAAATTTTAATTATTTGCTCCTTAATTCTAATTATATTTCTTAATTTTTTAAAATATTATGAGGTGAATATAAGATAATATCAATAAGTAGAGATGAATCGAGGGAGAGCAAGTGGGCAGTCACTCTCCTAAAATTTCAAATTATTATATATTTTAGTTATTTTCTTTGTATTTTTAATTAATAATGTATTTTCGCCTTTTAAAATTTTATAAGTTTATACTCCTTTAAAATTCTATAAATGCACTCCCACTGACATAAAATTTGTATTCGTCTCTGTCGGTTAGAATTTATCTTAATCTACTGCTAATATATATACATTCTACAAATATAACCACTCAAACTTGAATCCTTTAAAGAAATCAATATTATATTTTACCACCAAAACCATTCATTGAGTTATATATTCCTTAATTATTTGTTGCATATAGATAATAAATCCAACATCTTCAGTTGTAGTCAAGTATGAATTAACAATAAATTTTGGGCATACAAACCATGTTTTAAGTTTGCTTCATGCATTACCAATTGTAATAATTGTTTATGGGATTCATTTGATTTTGAGTGATTTTTTAATTGACTCCAAAAATTTCGTAATTGTATAATTAAATTTCTTTTTCTCCTTCCTATCATGTAAACAAAATATCATTCCACAATTGCTAAAAGCATGATATTGGTCGGTTCTTCCCCCTTCTGTGCTGCTTTTTGGTGTGTGTCACATTCAATTAATGCAAAATTAGCGCTCACCCTTTTTCACCTTCCCTATTTGCTATCTGTTAAACTAATCATGTGCCGATGAATTTGTGTAATTATCACAGTATGCATGTAGGAAAACACTAGCAGACAGCAGGCCACGCATCCGAGGACGGTTCATAAGAAATAAAGAAATTCAAAACAATCCTCCAGTTGAAGATGGAAAAGAAGATGAGATGAACTGGATTAGCTCTCTAGATATCCACTCCCAGCAGCTGCTTATTAATCCTTAATGTTTCAGATTTTATATTATTTTGCTTGTTTTCTTTACAATTTGATGCAATGTTAGGTCTTTCTCTGGTATTCTAAACAAAGGGTGTGTTAATATGATTGGTCACATTATTCATTCGAGAGTATGGAAAATTTTGTGTCCTCCAAACAATCACAGAATTTTATGTAACCTCTGACAAGCCTAAGATATCAGTTTGAGCCAAATTTACTTACAGATAATCATATTTACGTGCTCTGTTGTATACAAATAGTTATCATTATCCTAACCTCACACTAGTACTAAGAGTCAGATTATAAACCCCTATGCAAGAGTGAAAAGGTGATTGGAACATCTTCAACTGTTTACCTTCTTTACAATTCATTTTCTTCTTTAACATGTAATTCTTCATTTTGACAAGTGTTTAATATTACATATATTTACTGTTATTCACCCCTTATTTTTCGATTGAATATTACTGATTTATTTTTATTTTAGGTTTATTTTGGACATGAGTTTTATTGAATTTATTTTTATCTTATGTGATAAACCTTTTAGATTTAGGATTTTTAGTTTGATTATTTTATTATTATTTTATTTAGGAATTAGTTATTTTATTAGAACTCTTGATAGTATTTTTAGTTTGATTAGGAATTAATTATTTTATTTACTTAGAACTTTCGGGTTTTCAACCTTTGAACTCATATTGAAATTTATATTTCTTTGATTATTTATTGAAGTTCTGCTTTTTTTTCATCTTTTTTTTTTCTTTTATTATTTTCTTTTTCACAATGCTAAATATGATCCAATCCATGCTTGGCTAAACTCCAATTAGCTGAAAGCTGAGCAACAACTCAATTCGTTTCGTAAGAATTGAAAAACACTTCATACATTTAGGTATCTTTCTTGATTTTATGCAAACTAAGATATTGATAATCAATCTTTCTTTTAAATATCTCAACACTTTCGTTTCAAAGAGTGTACTTTGGCTTGAATGTTGTTTTGATTTACCATTGGAGAGAATAATCAGCTTATAGCAAATTCAACTTCCTAAGAACAAACTTAGTGACGATCCGCTAAGGGAAATCAAGATCAGGTTCAACTCTTATTGAGACACCATAATATGAGCACGAACTTTTCCAACACTTAAAGTAGCATTCCAAACAAGGATTGACTTAAATCAGCTTATAGTCGTTGTTAATCCAAACAAGGATTACATTCCAAGGATTGACTTTGGAAATTAGTTCACAAGAGAGAATAGCAAGTTACAAGGGTTGGACCTTGTAGACTGTAACCGCAAAGAATCCTGAAATAAAATCTATTTCAGTGATCGAAACAAATTGAGGCGAAGCGAAGCTTGAGGCTATCTCTCATCATAATTATTTTTCAATAATCTACTTTTCTTATTTTTTTTATTTCAATTTATTTGATTTATTTTGCTAAACACCCTTTATTTTACTTTACAGTTTTCTTGGATCAAGATCAATTCAAATCGATATTGAAAATTTCTAAGTCCATGTGGATCGACCCTTTCTTCTTTATATTTTTTAGGTTATTTATTCGAGAAAAAAGCTTAATTTATTTGATAATTTTGACGCTTCTCACCTTTTCCCCATATAACATCGTTGACAACTATTCTCTGTCCAAACCAGAAAGGGTGAACCGCCTACAACAGTCGCAACCTAAATTTTACAGTCAACAATTGGTGTGGTGATCGTGAAATACTTTTTTTGACAGAAAGAATCAATCAAGATGAACCCACAAGAAGATATTAATCAACTTAGTCTCCCATCTTTCTCTTCCCAAAATCCCCACGATATGCTCGGTTTTTTTAGGCCAACAACAGCTACCCGTATGTTGAAGTATGGTGACTAGCATTCGCTGGTCCACTTGTTCATAGCAGCTTCTCCTAACGTTTGTGGAACGTTCTGGTCCAGTGTGCAACAGATCACTGTCTGTGTAGTTACAACAGTCGGTTATTGCTGTTAAGCAGTTAGAATTTTGTTAGAGCAGTTGTAGTTCAGTTAGTCTCTACATTCTTGTTGAACTTTGTAATTTGCTAGCTATATAAGTCATGTAAGATTGAAAGAATAAAGATAAGAGAGTATTACCTGTCACCAGCTTTATCCTCTTTCTCACGGTTGTTGAGCTCTCTCAACATGGTATCATTCGCTGATATATCCTAGGGTGTTCTTTCGCTGTTCCTTTTCCATGGATCACAATACCTCGTCTACAACCACTTCAATGGAGTTCTCGTCAAGGAACACTAAAGTCTTCACCAATAAAAGAGTGGACGTCGTGCTTTATGAAACTAATTTTCTGTTGTGGAAACAACAGATTCTGCTCACTGCAAGAAGCCATCGCCTTGAAAGAATGCTTAATGGTACGATGCTCCCACCTCCAGAAACAGTGGTTGGTGAAGATGGAGTTGTAACCGCCAATGAAGAACATGAAGAATTCTTGGCTCAAGATAGTGCATTAGCTTCTTGGCTGCTTTCAACAATTAGCCCTCATCTTCTTCCACAGTTTATTGGTGCCGAAACGTCTGCCCAGGTATGGAACAAGGTCTTTCAATTATTTTCCAATCGCTCTACCACTGTAGTCATGAGCCTACACTACAAGCTCCAATCCCTCAAGAAAGGAGGAGATAGCATGCGATCTTATCTCACAAAAGTGAAAGAAGTCACTGATGCCTTGTACTCTTGTGGAAGCCCAGTGGCAGCATCTGAACACATTGCGAGTATTCTCAAGGGTCTCATAAGGGAGTACTTAACCCTTTATCGCGGTTATATCTGCTATATGTGACACTCTTTCACTCGACAATATATGCACAATGCTTATTGACGCTGAAACTCAGCTTGAAGGCTTTGATTATCAACCTGACTCCTTACCTGTTAGTGTCAATCTTGCACAAGGAAAAGGTGAGGTTGAATCATACAAAAACCAAGAAAAGCAGCAGTCTCGGTCGAATCACTCGTCCTACTCGCGTGGTAGGTCTCGTGGCAGAGGCAGGACACGATCGAGAGTTCAATGCCAACTGTGTGGCAAAATTGGTTATCTAGTAAGCCAATGTTGGCACAGGTTCGATGAAGACTTTTGTGGTATTTCGATTGACGATCACACGACTGGCTCTGACTCCTCTAGAGCATACTATGCTGCAACCAGTAACAATGAAAGCACTTGTGCTTGTTGTAATCATAGCAGCGCACATCGTGGTGACAACAGGAGTACTACGAAAAGCCAAGCTCATGCAGTATCTACTGGCCATGATCAGTGGATAATTGATTCTGGTGCTACACACCATGTCACGCCTAACGAAGCCTCCTTAACGCCTCACTCGAGCTATGCTAATCCTGGTAAGTTGATGGTAGGAAGTGGAGACTACCTACCAGTTCACTTGGTTGGTAAGGCTGAGTTGAATACTTCTTCTAGAACTTTGGCCTTAAGCAACATTTTGCATGTTCCATAAATAACGAAAAACTTACTTTCTGTTTCTAAGCTTGCTAAGGAAAATAGTGTGTTCCTCGAATTTCATGCCAAGACATGTTATGTTCGAGATGAGGCCTCTAAGATGGTTTTGCTGCAAGGAGAATAGTGCAATGGATTATATACGTTCAAAGCAAGTAGACATCAATGTCAAAATAGTGTAGTTGAAGCACAAACTGTGATAGCTTCCTCTACAATCTTAGAAATATGGCACAGAAGACTGGGCCATCCAGCTCATGACACACTTGCTAAAGTTTGTAAACAATTCAATATAAAAGCATTAAATGGTATTAATAAAAACTGCATTGCTTGCCATCTTGGTAAAAGCCACAAGTTGTCATTTCCTTGCTCGGACAGTGTTTATGACAAACTGTTTGAACTCGTTTATTCATATTTGTGGGGACCTCCACATGTCTCATCCAATGGCTTTAGATTCTATATTTCATTTGTTGATGCTGCCACACGGTTCACGTGGTTGTATCTTTGAAGACAAAGGATGAAGCCTTAACTGCATTCAATCTATTTCAAAAGTTGATTGCCACACAATTTGGTGCGTCAGTCAAAGCTCTCCAAACTGACTAGGGAGGTGAATTTCGACTTTGACAATGAGCTGAGCAAAGCGGGTGTGGTTCATCGCGTCACCTGTCCCCACACGTCGAGCGAAACGAGTAGTGGAACGAAAGCACAGACATCTTTCGAGATGGCCTTGGTGTTACTTGCACAAGCATCCATGCCTATCAAGTACTGGTCCTATACCATTCAAACCACTGCACATCTTGTAAACAGGATTCCTTCAAAAGTGCTTTGCACAAGTCACCGTTTGAGATGCTATATGGCAAGCCACCAGACTACAGTAGCCTGCGAGTATTTGGGTGCAGGTGCTTCCCACACTTAAGACCATTTCTGTAACACAAGTTAGAGTTTCGATCCCAGCCATGTACATTCTTGGGTTACAGCGCGCAACATAAAGGTTTTTAGTGCATGGAAAGCAATGGGCGAATCTATATTTCCAGACATGTTGTCTTTAATGAAAGTGTCTTTCCTTTTGCAGGAAACTCTGATGGAGCCTCACTTACCACTCTAATTGGGAACACCTCTCGGTCGCTCAAACTGGTCACTAATGTCACCAGATTAGAGCCTCCACGAGCTGATCATAACAGACTGTCTTTAAGTGCTACCAGGAGCAGCTTAGTAAGCAGTCCACAAAGCCCAATTACCAATCAAGATGAGTTGGAAGCTGTGATTGCCCCTGCGGTTCCTGCTGATGATACTCATGAAGGTTATCAAGATGAGTTATGTTCTGAACAAAATGTGCATAACTCTCTCGATGACACTGAAGATGAAGTACAAAATCCAGTAGTAAATGATGGCACTGAAAATGAGGTTGCTCGGGCCAATAACCACCCAATGATGACTCGAAGTAAATGCGGTGTGTATAAACCCAAAACTTACCTAGGAACTGTTGTTGATGATGTTCCATGCAGTGTACATGAGGCACTTAAGTCTCCAGAATGGAAGGCTGCTGTTCTTGAAGAATACAGTGCGTTACA